CTGCTCATAGGGGGTCATGTGATTGTTGGGGTTTCCTCTGTGTGTATTATTGTAGGGTCTACATTAAAACATTAATCGCCCTGAAGCCACTTTTGTTGTGTTTTTGTGCTGTATACATAACATTGAATGTAGACGTGAGAAAGGAAAAAGTTCCTGCATGAGTGAATTTTCTGTGGATTACACTCATGTGTGATGCAGGGTGTAGACTGTCCCTTTAAAAGTAGTGTTATGTTTCATGTGATGAGGTTGTTGATGGAGGCCTCCACCTGCTCTTGGCTGATGGTGGGCGGTAATGTTTAAATCTTAGAGAGTGACTTGAAAGCAGCAGGTCGAACAAGAACCGGTTCCTTTGTAGGATTCTCATCCAAACTAAATATTTGCCAGGCGGTGACTCTGATGGCGCCCTGACAGTCGATGCTGCTGTGGACTAAATGTCAGACAAACGTTCAGAGAGTGTATTGACTTTGTTATTTTTGTGTGTTCAGGAGAAGTACCTACAATCACCTGAGCAGCTGGCTGACGGACGCCAGGAACCTGACCAACCCAAACACGGTGAGTGCGCCCACGCAGACTTCTGTGGCGACTCTTTTAAATCTTCTTTTCAGGCAGGAGAGAGAATGATTTCAAAATGGAGTCTGAAGGTGAAAGTGACCCAGAGCTGCGGTGCGTAAACAGACTTGGCTGGAGCGCAGCTACAAGTAAACAGTTATTACATCCCTGCTCACGTTTATGGCAGCTAACAAACACCTGTTAAGCTGCTGTGCACGAAACATCCTTTAACCTGTGACGCGCTGAAGAGTCGCTGCTCAGTCTGCGTGTCTCCGTGTCGTAGGTGATCATTCTGATCGGCAACAAGGCCGACCTGGAGGCTCAGAGAGACGTGACGTACGAGGAGGCCAAACAGTTTGCCGAGGAGAACGGTGAGACGCTCGCACGATCAGATAAACGCTCAGCAGCAGACGGAGACTCGCTGATTTCTCTGATTTCTGCTTCCTGTTTCTCAGGTTTGCTGTTTCTGGAGGCCAGTGCCAAGACGTAAGTACGGCGTGTTAGAGAGCTCGTAGTGGCTCGATGGTTACGATTCATTCAGAAACCCGTTCACACCACAGAACGGTGAAGTGCATGAACACGTGTTTCCGGGTCTTTGTGATGACTGATGTTTTAATAAGTCCTGACGAGTTTGGCCTCTGCTTCTTCTGCAGAGGCGAGAACGTGGAGGAGGCCTTCCTGGAGGCAGCGAAGAGGATCTACCAGAACATTCAAGATGGCAGCCTGGACCTGAACGCCGCCGAGTCGGGAGTCCAGCACAAACCTTCGACACTGCAGGGGGGGCGCCCCAACCCCGACAACCAGCCAGCAAAGGAAGGCTGCAGCTGTTAACCTTGAACAGAAAGTACGAACGCATCGAACAGACCGACACACGGACTCCGCCGGGCACTAACACTCACACCCAGAACCAGTCCACACTCATCATCGGCGCTGTCCACCCGCCGTTTTCTAATCCAAAGCAAGATTCAACAATCCTCCATCCGTTCGAGACTTTACCAACTCTGACCAGATCCTGAAAACCAAATCTAGAAGCACATCTCTGCAGCGTGAACTGGCTCAGAAAGGCTCCCAGATCAGGACCAACCGAGGCGGCGACCTCATCCAAAACCAGTCTCAGCACAGACCTGTGTCAATCTGGCCTTCGTAAACCACAACGCTTTCATCTCAAAACCAGAGAACTCCCCCAAACTGGGCCGCTCTCCCCACCGCGTCTCCATCGAGGATGCTTCAACTCACACGCATTAAAAACCTCCTGCAGACTCGATCAGGATCGTCGTGAGTACGCCACATTTGGTTTTCCATAAAATTCGGGCTTCCTTATCAACAAACCAATCAGCGCCATTGATCAGACCGACCCAGACAAACCGCCGCAGCAGGACGTGACGGTGAACGCTGGCGATCACGGAGGACTCCTGTCAGTCAGATATGGCGGGCCGGCGTGCGGCCTGGACTGTGCAGAGTCCAAAGTAGGGTCGACTGATTCCGGACTAAAGTAAAGGTTTCACAGATTTAGCATCTTTCGTTTTTTCTCCCATAAGTAAAATGTTTAAATTCAGACAAACAAAACCAAATTGGGACAAAATGAAATTCAAAATAAGCAGACTCGCTGCTCTCAGTCCGAGTCCAGGTTCCCAATTCTGATTTACGTTCAAACTCCGTCCCTCGGTTGGCTCTGCCTGGATGTCTCGGCTCACCCGGGATGTTCAGCTCTCTGCAGGGAAATGTTGTGAGCTTGTAGACTGAACCGGAGCGCAGGCCAGCGGACGTCTGTCACCTTCAGAACCAAAGAGGGCACCTGAGCGCTGTGAAGCTGGAAGCTGACTGAAGGAGCCTCTGAGCTCCTCTGTTATTTTAGGAAGCAGAAGCTGAGAGAGCAACGAGAAAGGAGCACCCCAACCATCGAGTCGTGACGGCGTTTTAGCTTTTATTGCCTCTTTCTGTCTGCACGAAGCCAGTACAGCTGCCAGGTTTTGCTTTTTCACCACTGCTGTGTAGTATGAAAGTCATTTGAATGCATCGTCTGAATGCATGAAAATTACTGCAAGTTCCCATCTCCCAGCTCCAAGGGAGGAAAATAGTGACAGGAAAGAGGTCGCAAGGTCTGTTAGAAACCATCGGATGAGACAGTCTGCGCCTGCAGCTCCACCCACACAGCCACCCCTTCAATTTATGAAGTCTGTGAACTGATGTGAGTCTCGGTCGCTCTGGGAGGGATGAAGAACCCGAACGTCTCCGGCCCCTCGCTGGATCAGTTCAGGATGGATTTTTATTAAATGCCTTCATTATTTTCTTGTTTCTGTTTTTGGTTTTAACCAAATAAATACAGGATGTTCCCACAGCTCCCCCTTGTGGCCATTGTGTTTGCGTTGTTGAGCCAGGATTGCACTTTATCACTGTGCTTTCTCTGGTTTCCGCCGCGCTGCTGTGGAGACGTCACTGCTTCAAACGTCCCGTAGACGCCAGCGAGCGTATCTGAGGGAGAATTTGCTTTGTGGAGAAAATGATGCCTTCATGGTTTCTGGATCTACTGTTTTCCTCTTTGAAAAATCATTCCTGCACTAAAAGCTTCCCAAAGCTCCGAGTGATGCTCTGCCAGATTTCATTTCACACTTTTAAACCACCAAAGTCTGTGAGCACTAATGGGAGGGAGCAGCTTTTGCATTTAGAGTTTGGATCAGTTAACCTGGAATTAGTCTACCTGTATTTCTGCTTATTTACACTAAAATTAACAAAATACCCGAGAAATGTTTCCTTTGAGTCCCAGAAGTGACAAAACCCGGAGAGATGGAGTTGAAGGTCCATAAGCCATTAAAAGTTTCACCACCAGGGGGAGTGTTTCACCAGCAGGTGTGCTGCCGTTTAACCTTAAACCAGGCGTGGACGACGGCTCCATCCTGTGGTAGAGAGTGGTATTACACACAGTACGGCTGGCTGAGCTGGAGCCTCAACATGAAGGTTATTGCACATTTTATTAAAATTTAAAGTTTTGGAACTTTTTGACAGAAATTAACAAAAAAGATCTTTGATCGTTACTGAAATGATTACACTAATGTTTTTAATTACCTTTAATGCATGTAAATCACCTGTTGTGTATTTCTACATTCCTACAGTTTTGTTGCACTTTATTTTTTTGGGAAATTGGAAAATATGACGTAAATTTTAAAACATTCTGAGAATTTTTGTCTGTAGTATTAAAGTGAATGAAGACCCAGAAAAAGTCGACTGGTTAAACCCAGGAAAACAAAAGAAATGATAAATGATCCCGTTTGTGTAGATTTAACATGGCGTCACTCAGCAGATCTCTTAATTGGGCAATTTTGTCGCCTCCGGGGCGCCGTATGGTCATCATGTCACTGCTCGCGCCGAGGTCACGTTATATGAAGTAAAAACGTCACCTCAGCATCTGGGTGTGACGCGTCCACATCTGTCTGAACGGGGCACGATCATGTGACTTTACCCTCTGCTGTCGTCTGATTGGTGGACAGCAGCGCGCTCCAACTATGAGTGATTTAACAATAAAACCTTTATGCGGTGAAAACAAACACGAAGCGTTTCAGGCGTCCTGTCTTTGTTTTTTCCTGATCGACCCCAAAATAAAAAACCCTGAAGTTTGTTTTTACTCTGCAGTGACCAAAAAGTCTGTGAGGCGTCACCGGGATCGGCGCCTTCAGCTTCCCTCGCCAAAGCGCTCAGCATCCAAAACGATTACACAAGACTTCTTATGCAAAATGGGAAAAACTTTATGGGATGGCCTCGGTCGTTACGCTGTTCAGAGTCTTAATTTCTATATATTAATGAGAAGACGATGCAGCGAAATCAGGTTAAACTACAGCTGACGTCCTTTTTATTTTTCCGTGTGCTCGTAGCAAAATCGTCTGATCAGCCTGAGGGAGGCGCTGCTGTTTGGCTGAAGCATGTGCAACTATAACAGTGAGGTGGAGATCAGGTGATGGAGTCGCTGTTTTTCTGTCTGTTCATTTTTCAGAAATCTGCTAAAATTAAAAAAGTTTATTCTGATTGTTTGATTGTTTGCAATGATTCTCTGCAGCTGTCATTGTCCAGCTGTGGAGACTCAGTTCTTTGTAAATAAACTATATATATGCTGTATATACGCCGATGACTCACTGCTCTTGTGTTCAACTGTAATTCTTCTGTCTGCCTGCAGAGGGCAGTGCAGACTTTTATCTCAGTTAACATTAAATTCACTTATAACTAAAATTCACTGCATTCAAAGTTCACATTTTTTCCAAGTTTATTTTTATTTCAAACATAAAAATGTTTACAGGGTTTAGAAAAACATTCACGTCCGTCTTCTCTCCGTTAGCGTCACTGTGGGCGCTTCCTCACGTACTGTTCTGTTTTTGGCTCCACTTCCTGCTCATGTTTAAAGTGAAAGCAGCAGTCATGTGATCACATGCAGCGAGTCATGGATTCGTCTTTAAAGTGTGAAACGGGAAAACTCATTCTGATCAGGCTGTTTGATTATCAAAGGCCAATTAATCAATCAGTGTCGTTCTGTGCTGGTCACATGACTTCCAGCCGAGCGAGACTTTAAACATGAACAGAAGAGCTGGTCGGACAATCCCCTCAGCTATGAAATGTTGCCGTGGTAACACAAGGTGAGGGGGCGTGTCCTCGGCAGTGAGTTTGCTTCGAGGGCACAGCGTCACTACGTGGCTCTGCTCTTGGAGGCGGGCTCTGTCTCCTGCTCGTACTCAATCTCCACGTACGCTCGCTTCTTCCTCGCCGCCGAGCCGTTCGCCGGAGATTTGCCTTTAGACCGCAAAGCCTTCGTCTGCACCTCCATCTCCTCTTCAACCTCCTCCTCCTCCTCCTCGCTGGACTCGTCCTGCTCCTCATCACTGCTTGTCTTCAGCTTGTTCATGTCCTGCAAGGAGGAAGTCCAGTTAATGTAACAGTCAAACAATCGCATTTAAAGATCACGCCAGCAGAGCGGCGACCGACATCTGAAAGGACAAAACTGCGTCAACATGTCTCAGGATTCTGACTTCCTGCTCCTCTCTGACTCAACTTCCTGTCTTATTCAGTCCGACCTGAAAGCAGTTCATCAGACTTCAGTCGCCCCCTGCTGGTCATTAGAGAGAAGAGTTACCTCAAAGTCGCTCAGGTCGCTCTCCTCCACTTCTTCTTCTGCTACGAACTCTCTCTGCCCGACGTCCTGCACGCACACACACGCACGCACGCACGCACGCACACACACACACACACACAGGACATCCTTTCAGAATAAAGTTTTACAAACATGTTCAGCAGCTGGTGTAGTAACAGCTGCCTCAATCACCTCGTCGTCCTCTTCTTCTTCCTCCTCCTCCTCTGACTCGCTCTCCTGGTCCTGCTGCTCCAGCGCTCGGTCGAAGGCGTGCACGGGGAAGTTGTAGATGTCTCCGTACTGAAACACAAACATAGACCGTGAGTTAAACCGCACGATCGTCCTTGGCGTGCGAGCAGCGGTCGCGTTGGCATCGTACCGTTCCCTGTTTAAGTCGCTCCAGCAGCTCCTTCTCGATGGCGTTATCCAGCTGAGCAGCAATCAGAGCCTTCTCCTAAAAGAAAACACCAACAAAGAAGAGACGGCCGTCAGAGCTCCTGTTCCAGGTCAAAGGTCACGATGAGATGAACTACAGAGGAATGAGCAGTGCTTCTGCTTTTGGTAATTTTTAGCAAATGTTTGCATCATTTTATTTTATGAACTTCAGATAAAAGGAAAAAATCCTGAATCCTCTAAACAGGAGCTGCCAGCAGCTTTTAAGGTGGACCGTTCAGATGCTGCGAATCAGTCATTCCGCCTTAAATATCAGTTCGACGGCTGTTCCTCTTCAAAGCGAGGAAAGAATTCCAGACTTTATTCAACGTGTCTGTGTCTGTGGAAAACCTAAACTCGGCTCCTAATTTGTAAGGAAAATGTGACCTACGACCTCTCGTAATCTGATTGCAGCTCTGTTAGGTGGTCAAGCGCCACCTTTGGGTGTGGTTAAAAGTCTCACCTCCTTCCTCCTCTCTCTGGTCTCCACCTTCCTGCTGAGAGGAACCAGCTTCCTCCTGAAACACACAGACAAGCAGGATGAACGCGGCGGGACGACACACCAGCTTCCTACTCGCAGTACTCGCTGTACTTTGTGTACTGCAGTACGGTCTGAGTACTCACTGCCTTTTGAGGACCAGTTTGCGCATGCGGATCAGGTACTGGGTGATTTTAGTGAACCTCTGTTTGCATTTGTGTCGGATGAATCGAGGCCAGTAGATCAAGTTCTCATCTATCTGCTCCAGAGCCTTCTCATAGTTCTTACTGAGCTTCACCTGCACACACACACACAGTTTGAGGCGTGAGTTAAAATCTTGTAAACTGAAGTTAGCTTCTTTTACACCAGATTCTTTAAACCGTGTCGAAGACGTCGGGCCATCGTCAGGAGACGTGACGTCTCCGTGTCTGGTGATCCACCATGACGAGTGACATAATCCCACTTTAGCCGCTCACCTTCTCCCACATCCTGGCAGGAAAAGCCGCCCTCTCGATGACCTTCATGTAGAGGAAGCACTGACCTGAAACACAAACGTTCCTCGCGTTACTCCCAAGACCTGCTGACCTGAGATCTGCCGGTAAAGCTGATGAGAGCGAGCGAGGACTCACCTTTCTCCTCCCTGATGGTGGCGTACTGGCTGTTGGCGAGCGGGCAGGACGAGCGGTTACACAGGCCCGTGATGTTGTACTCATTCCGGCAGAAGTTCTGACTCTTGGTCCTGGACAGAGAAACATGACGTGACACGGCTCAGAGCTCGTCAATGACACGAGTCGATAAATCCAAGCCGAGCGTGACTTACTTCACTTTGAAGGAGCAGAACTGCGTGTTTCCAATGATGTCCCAGATCACCTGCAGGGGGCGGATCACACACTGATGCACATTACTGCTGCCTCAGTTTCTTTTTATGATTTTATTTAATTATTCGTCACTGAACTTTGAGAAACTTCACCATTAGACTTACTATTTATTTCATTTTATCGTGTGAATTCATTTTAGCACTTTTCTGCTTACGTGAATCTATTTAAGGATGTGTTGCGTGCTGAGCTTTTCTTAAGTCTGACTACAGTTCGTCTTTTTCCTTCATGTGGAGCCTGATGATCTTTACGACACACGGAGAAAAGAATGATGGGTAACTGTGGCCGAAGTGAGGTCCACGCAGGTCTGTGACTGACTCCGCTTCATGATGTATTGATCGGAGTGTTTGCTGGAAAACTAAAAAACGTTAAAACTGATTTTATTTAATGGAATTTGGCGTGAGCGGAAGAGCCGGCTAGCATTTAGCCTGGTGATGTGTTGAAACGCGTATTTTATCTCCGGATAAATGAGTACGGTTCAGCTCATGGTTCCTTTAAACTCCGGAGCTCTCACCGGCCAGCTAGCGTTAGCACGCAGAGCTAACAGCGCTTCTCGGCGGCTTTGTGACACTTACGTCGTCGTGCTGCATTTCCGGGTCCTCTCAGAGCGGGTCGGCTCGCCAGATATAATAAAATTAAATAAGTTCCGATCACGGCGTGAGGCTTTTTCAGCAGACCTGGAACCACATGGACGATCAGGGCGACACCATCTGTGTTTGGACAGAAATCTCATCCGGAGTGACGTCACCCGGAAGAAACATCGCGAGACTTCGAGATGTAACGTGTGTTGTAGATGTTATTATTACTTAGCGCATGCATTCGTGTAAAACGGTGTGATTGGGCTGCTGCTGAATAAAGACGATTGAATAGAGATTAAAAGCGGAAAGCACTGGAAACAGAGAAGCCTCCATCAGCATGCACCCGGCCAGGTGGAGAACTTCATCTACACCTCCCATCTCCCGTACAACCACAACTAGAAGTTCCACTCATGACAGGAAACACATAAACACATCACCGAGACGTTACTGGCGGAGCTCAGCTTGACTTCAACATTTAGGTGGAGGTCGCTGGGTTGATGGGTCAGTGCAGTCAGACTCTGGGGAGTCAGCTGACCTGCTGTGTGCTGAGTTCACTGACCCACTTCTGCACTCAAACAAAATGACTCCTGTTTCTCTGTGAACCCTAAAGCAGATGTTTTTGCTCTGTGGTGCATTCAGGTTCACATGATTGTGGTTTAAAGAGTTGTTGTGTAGCCTGTACAGGTGTTTGTAAGTAAAGACCATCAGACTGGGACGTGACACCTAACCCACCACCCACTCCGAGTCTGTGGCATCCCTGTCATTCAAAAACATTGACTGGGATTCTGTTTATGTGTATTTATCATTAAATAACTGAGACAAAACAAAACGACAGCACCGACAGTAAAAAGCATGTTTACAACTAAAGAAAGTGTCACCACTAACAAAACTACACTATTACTACAAACATGTACAAGTACAGAATCTGAGATAGAACTGTGTAGAGTAGAACATCACTGCAGGCACATCCTGATAAGCGATAATATGAAACATTGACTAATGATCCGTATCTTACAAATGCTTCTTGTCAAGGTCAGACGGGCTGAGGCGCATGCGTAACAAGAAGGCTGCACCTTACACGGATGGTCCGTGAACGCACCAATCATCATACTTCTTGAACAAGAAGGATCATAATACAGCGCACGCGCTCTGAGGCTTTACGGAGCGGCTCCAGCGCTCTGAGTGACGGTGCTCTTCTTCACGTGAGCGTTTCTCTTGACTTCATCAGCTCACTGCGCAAACTCCGACAGCGCGGCACGCTAAAGGTTGTAATGTTTCTGAGCGGGGAAACGTGAGAGCAGCACGGGTTTCTGGTCTGACGGGAGCGATGCATTCTGGGAAAGACCGCGGTTCAAATCAGCTCTGCAGCGACCCCAGCGCTCTGGAGGGGAGCTGCAACATAAAAACACAAGACTGAAGAAGTTTAATGTCATATACACCGCAAAACACAAATGGTTACGCTGAGCAATCAAATTGTTACTTTGCGAGTTCCCTTCAAACAACTAAATAAACAAGTAACTAATATAAAGAATAAATGTAGTACTTATGTGTTTATGTACACAAGGGTAGGGTGTAGTTAAAATTTGAAAGTGCAAGTAGTTATGCAACACAGTGTTAAGATATTCAGAATGTGCAAATATTAAAATTGTTTATGTTGTATGAAGTTGTGTTATATTGTATATAAATGTTCACAGTTGCAAATTTACAGGTCAGGTTATTGATAGACAATCACAGTTCGACAGTTAGTCAGGGATTCAGTAGCCTGATGGCCTGTGGGTTGTCCTTACTTTCACACTCCTGTAGCGTCTGCCAGATGGCAGGAGTGTGAACAGTGTGTGCTGTGGGTGGGTGCATCCCTATCCTGAGTGGTGCTGTTCTCGTACCACACTGATGGAGTTTGTCAGGATACTCTCAACTGTTCATCTGTAAACATTGCTGAGAAGTTTGGAGGTTAATCCTAATTTTCTCAGCTTCCTCAGGAAGAAGAGTTGTTGTTGAGCCTTCTTGATGATCTGCCGTGGTTATGGGTCCAGGTGAGATCCTCACTGATGTGGGTGCAGAGGAATTTGAAGGTCTTCACCCTCTGCACAGGAAGTTTTAGTGCACAGGCATATTAATAAATCAGACACAGAAAATAAGAACTGAGTAGAAGGAGTTTGTTTGTAATGAAACTGTGTGTGACGTCTGAAGTACAGAAATAACACCATATAAGACACATGTTCAGCGTCAAATGTTAGAGATCCTGCAACTGGCGTTTTGGGCTGTGCAGGGGTCTCTCTCTTCCAGAAGATGATTGAATAAAAGAAATATAAATGTTTTAACACACTATGAGTCGGTTTTCTCTGTTCTATCATGGGGACAAAAGAATCGGGGTTAATAATACATAGTGGGGCGTGCTGGTCTCTCCTCATCCTCGGGTCAACAATCACCTCCTTAGTCTTCTCAACATTTAAGGACAGATTTTCCAGGCACCAGGCCACCAGCTGAGCCACCTCTTCACTGCAGGCCGTCTCTTCTCCAACAGCTATCAGCCTAACAATGGTTGTGTTGTCAGCAAACTTAATGATGGAGGTGTTGCTCTGGGAGGGGATGCAGTCATAGGTGAAGAGGGTGTACAGGGGTGGACTGAGCACACAGCCTTGGGGGGTCCCTGGGCTCACTATCTTTGTACGTGAGATACCAACTCTGACTGCCTGAAGCCTGCCTGTGAGGTGCTTTTCCACCAGTCTGTTTGGGCTGACGGTGTTGAATGCTGAGCTGTAGTCTATAAACAGCATTCGAACATAGGTGTCCTTATATTCGAGGCGTGAGAGGGCTGTGTGGAACGCTGCATTAACGGCGTCCTCGGTAGAACGATTCTTCCGATATGCAAACCTGCAGAGTCGAATGTGTCCGGGATGGATTCTTTGATATGGGACACGACTATCCTCTCAAAACACTTCGTTACAATTAAAGTGAGAGCAATGTTCAAACGACTCTAAATATTTAATACTTAATAAACCTCATAAACAGACTCCGACTACAAAAGCTTTGTGTTTTCTGAGCCAATCACAGGTGGACTTGTGTTTTGGAACATTATCGCTTTAAGACAATGATCCACTTCTACTTTGGTAACTACACAAGCTCAGCAAAGATCCACTGTCTGTGTTAAAAAGTGAACCCAAATCCATTTTACACCCAGTCCCAGTCTAAAGCCAAAATCTGGTTTCTGCTCTCTCTGAGGATCAGTGTGTCACAGTTTGTACAGAACGAAGTGTCGGAGGCAGAAAGAACGAGCGAGTCCGAGTGCAAAAACAGAGAAACAGTTTATTTTAGTAAATAGTGAGCTGTTCACTGCTGTACAACACTGGCATCTGTAGGTTGGCACACTTTAAAGGGACGATCCACCCAAAAACTGAACAAAACCAAAACAGAGTTCACACACATTACCGCCGCTGCGACGTCTGTACAAGCTCTGCTGCTGGACTCGTAACGGCTGCGTGCCCTGCTGGTCCGGGATCCCGTTTAATGCTTTTCCCCTTTCTTTTTTTGGACCATTAACCCGACAACAAATGTCATCAGGGACACGGGGGACAAGTAAAAGAAGAAGAAACAAAAAGGCACCGAAAGCCACAACAGACAGCCGGACAACTGAAAACTACACGGACATGCAACTCACATCGATTTACACAGAGCTAATATATGCATGCAAAAACAACACTGCTCTGAACACACACACACACACACACACACACACACACACACACACACACACACACACACACACACACACACACACACACACACGCTACACATCAAAGGTTTCCTGGAAAGTACAAACGGCTCCTGAACGCACCACTCCACATCAGGGAGGCTCGGCATTCACATCACCCCCCAAGCCCGACCCCCACCCCACCCCGGAGTCTCTCAGCACATCCTGTGATTCGTAGCTGTAGTAAACTGTAGTGAAGCCAAGTAACACGCCTAACAACGTCACGGTGACTCTAGAGCAGCCGTGGATGGGATGAACAGATTCTGGAATTAAGCCTGTGTGAAATGTGCCGGAGCTCACGCCACAGTGAGCAGACATACGTGCACGTGTATGAATCCACCATCCAGAACGTGTTCAGGTTCCTGCGTCCTCCAGCCGATAAAATAAAAATACAAAATAATCAAATCAAATCTGAAGAGTTTAGAAAAACAACAGATGATTTCAATCTGAGACAAACCGACAAAGAGCTCTAGACTCTGACGTTAGTGACAGGATGAGGACACGGCTTCTAGAGCCTAAGGAAAAACAACATAAGGTGGGAATCCTTCAATGGCATTTTCATCATGTGCATTCTGACGGGATATTAAAGTACAGATTCTAGAATCGTGTGGGATCAGATTCTGAAAACAAACCTCAACAAGCCTTCAATCAGAACTCACACGTAAACCAGAACAGCTCTAGAGAGAAGTGACTCCAATCAGAGACAAATGTTTTCTAGAATCTGAAAACAAAAAGACCAAAAACAGCTTCAACATTTTCCTCGCATCGCACAGAATCAAACCGCAGCTCTCAAAGAGCTTCAAATGTGCAGGCTCCATTTTCTGCACGTACGCTCTCGGATTAGTAAGGAAACTGTCGACACGCCTCCATGTGGCTTCCACTGATTCTACAGCAGCCTGGGCCTGATGTTGTAGAAGGTTCCAGACTCAAGTAAAGAAGGATTCAACACAATTTCAACCAAAGACTCTACAAGCATTTTTCTTTGAATGAAAATACACATAAAATCTATTTTAGTGCAATTCTGGAAACAGATTCTAGAATAAACTGTAAAAAGGATTTAAGATTTGTTCTAGACTCCGTAAAATATTCCAGCGCTGTTTGAGATCAAACCTGAAAAAGGTTCCACAGTTAAACGATTCTAGAATCTGACCGTCCAGAACCAACACAGACAGGATGAAGAGTGTGGGGGGGGGGACAGAGGAACAAACAAAATACTGAAGAAATAAATGTTCCATCATATGATGTCTAGGAAAAAAACTGACTTTTTCAAACACTTGAAAAAACGTTTTTGTTCAATCAATCAAATATCCTCCAGAACCAGAGTCATCCAGAGCAGCACATAGTTTGATGTAAAACCACAGAGCCCCGAACATTAGCTGAACTGTTGAAAGATATTTTGTCAACTCTGGAAGTCATAATCATCTTTCCAAACCAGATACATTCTTGAATCGAGACTTTCATGGGAAACAATACTGAAAAACAGACTCTAGAACAAAACAAAAGTCTAGAATATAAAAAACAATTATCCCACAAAAACCTCAGAAGCTGAACATGTTTGATTTTCTAGAATATTTCGACCTTCATGGTCTAGGACGTATAGCTGGGCAGTTTAGGACAGTTGGTTCTGCGACCAAGAGGACAGACGTTGGGACAACATAAAACAGATTCTTGAATAATTAAAAAAAACAAAAATAATAAAATAATAATGACAATAAAAATGTCTGTTATACATGTTGACGGAAACAGACAAACAGGGTCCAGAAGAGCAGGTTAAGGTCCAAATCTGAGAGGATGTTAAGATTTCTAATCCAGATTTGGCCCAGAATCAGGGAAGCTGGGGTTCTCAAGACTGTCTACAATGTTTGCCTCAGTGTTGTAGAACTTGTGGGAAATCTAACAGAAAACCTTGAACCTAAACGGCAAACGAACGCGGTGAGATGTTAAATTTGGGTATTTTAGTTCTAGAGGACGAAGACTTGTTCTAGAGCTTGGGAATGCAGAGTCCAGGATGAGAACTTTAAACCGTTTCCTCGCGCTGGAAAAAGGGGGAAAAAAACGCGCTGATGAGACTCCGCTGTAAACCAAAACGTATTTCACCTGGGACGTGTCGTCTAACAGGAATGTTCTGGACTGAAATCCGTTTGGATCCAGAATCAGAATGAACTGTTTGGCAACTACAAAGGAAATTATGTTGGATTTTTAAACATATAGTTTGAGATCTTTTAATCAGGCACACGAGATGTGGTTCAGGCAACATGGCTGTTTATGCGTCAGCTGTTTGGTGCAAGAAAAAAAAAAAAAGACCACCTACTGTGATGGGCGGAGCTACATCAGCTAAGAGTTTATGCTGTTTTACAGCGAGCCGTGAACCCGGGGACGAGCGCCCAAATCCAGAGTCAGTGAGCAAAGTGAAATCCGTCAGTTGTAGAAACATTATTGTACACACCTGCAACAGCCGCAAGCGTCCTACAAGCTAAGTGGGTAATAAAAAGTATACACAACAGATAAAAACATAAAGGTGTCAATACAGAGAAAAGGTATGACACAAACCATGTAAACTCTACAGCAGCAGCAGGAGGAAGGGGAGCACACCTTTATAAAAAAACTATTTTGTGTTTAAGATCCGACGTCAGCTTTGGAGCCAACCAGGACAGCTGTTTTTATGACGGAGACGACAGATGTGAACCCAAATCACAGCTGCAATGATGGAAAACATGCTCAGAAAACAACAGTATGGTGTCTTCATTCACACTTTGCTGTTTCCTGGATGCTGAATTTGGGAAAACAAACACTGAAGATGTTTGATGTGAAACAAAATGATTGTGGGACACAAACAGCAACAAGAAAGAGACAAGTGATGAACCCAAAGTCTGTTTCCCCGCTGCATCTCTCAGTGTTGGTTTGCAGATAGACGTCGTTGAGAATGCGGCTCCTGAAGTCCCGTCCCTTCATCGACCCCCGCAGAGCTGCTCGCCCCCCTCTTCGTCAGATAACGGAGGTCGCAGAGGGTCCGACGGGGTTCAGGGAAGGGAGTACTTATTCAGAAAACCTTGCGTTCTCTCTGTGGGGGTCTCAGGATCGAGTCCTCTCTACACCTCTGGGTGAAGCAGATTTTATTTATTCAAAAACCGATTTTGTGAAAGTGGAACGATGAGCGATGGACGACTGGAGCTGGTCTGAAGGGCGCTGTCTGGATTTTTGTCCTGTTTTAAGGCATTTCACCAAAGAGAGTACAGAGCTGACTGGTCTGCACTGGGCAGAGGGTTTCTGGGGGGGTTGGTGGTTCTCAGCAAGTCTTTTTTAAACAGGGTTTCTGGTCTTAGGAGGTCTTGACCAGGTCGTAGACGTAGATGTGGAAGTCGTCGTCGAATTTGATGAAGTAGACGGAGGGTTTGGCCTCCACCTGGTGGATCACCATTCCCGACCTCTTCCCGCCGTCCTCTTTGGCATACTCGACCTGTTTGCCCACCAGACTGTCGACCACCTCGCCGGGCTCTCGCTCCGCCGTCACGCTGTCGTCTGCAGACACGAACACAGAGAAAAGGTCAACTTTATTTATCGTCTTTGCAGAATTTGATCACGAGGCGATTGATAGAGTATTAAACACACCAAAGCAGCAGGTGTTTGATAATCAGGAAGTACCAGCAGTAATATTTACTCGAGTACTCTGCCTCATGAAACAGAAAACCAAAGCAGCGCTGAGCTTGTTTGAGTGAAACCTTGAAAGGAACCCACATCAGCCAGCGTGGAAGCAGCAAGCGTCTGGATGGCACAGAAGCCGATAAAGGCCCACATGTGGATTACTCTCACACACACAGGAAGGAAGCTGAGCCTGCGAGCACTGGCAGCGCTCCCACTCATGAACACGTTGGTTCTTTGATGCCAACAACTCGCTGCTTCAGCGCTCAGTTTCCTGCTTCACTTTTTACTGAAACAGAGAAAAACGTGGCGAGCTGTGACGCCGCCCAGTGCGCTCACACTCACTGGAGTCGGGCATGATGCGCAGGTCGCCCTCCTTGTAGTCGTCCAGCAGCTGGTACATGTAGAGCACCGGGTCCTTCTCGTAGGTGATGTAGAACCAGGAGGTCATGATGGGAGCGCGGGCCAGCACCATCCCCCTCCACTCCTCCTTCGGCCCGTCCTCCGTCTCGAACATGTGCTCCACCGCCTTACCGATCATCGTGTCTGCCAGCAGTGAGTCGGTCACACGGGCCGGAGCTGGACCAATCGCGGGACAGAGAGACACACGGAGAGGTGCGGTTACATCATTGGGACGCCGGGCAGGATGTTAAATAAAGTAACAGCAGTAACTACGTGCATTTACTCGAGTATTCGGCTTAATCTGCAGCAATACAACAGAAAACGTCTGACACAATGAGCCAATCAGCAGCCGCTGCTGCGGACCTCGGTGTCCATAAAGTTTGTGACAGTCACACGTTAAAACTCGTCTGGCCGTGTGTCGCTGCGGCTGACAGCTTATTTCCGCCACGAGCCAAACGCGGCGGCCATGACGGGTGGCTCCTCACCCACTCTGTCGGGCAGAACCTCCAGCCCCACCACCCGCTCGTCGGTGTACAGCTCCAGGCCGTAGATGCAGTCGAAGCCGTCGTATTTGATCAGGTAGAGGGAGGGGTTAACGGGCACCTGGTCCAGGACCGTCCCCTTCCACTGCGACGACTTACCTGAGAGGAAGCAGACACGTAAACACCAGCACAGGTGACTCGTTCTCACACGATGCTTAACTTTCTGCGTTTCTATAAACCATCATTTGATCCACTGAGGGACATGTTAATGTTTAACTCGCCAAACTAATCAAATATGAAGCATCAAAAGGAAAATGAGACAGAGGAGAATCACATGGAGCCGACTTACTGCCCTCCTTCCAGATGTGCTGGATCCTGCAGCCCACGATGTTCCTTCTGGGCTGAGTCAGGGTCTTGCTGGGACCCACGCTGGTCCTCTGCTTCCTGCAAGGAGGAGGTTCAGACACGATGAAGGGTGAGGAGGAGAAGATGGTGTGACACCGGTGCGAGCTGGTGACTTTTCATTCATTTGTTGTGTCTTTTAATTAAAAACTTTATTGTACAAATGAAAAAAAAACTGTTTTACTTACTTGTGCGGATTCTTTTTCTTCATCATGTTTGCAGAGACGCCCGAATGTCCTGAAACACACAAACACATCAGTCTGATGACCAGTCGGCAGCGTGTCACGGACATGGGTGGAGCGCCTCGCTCATGTAACTCACCTCCGTCCGCTCGGGGCCGCGGCGCCGTTGGGCTCTTGAAGGGGGTCTTCATTCATCCACCTGTAGAGGAGCAGCCAACCACACCAGCAGTCCGGGCTAAATGCTGGGAGTTTGTGTGAGGCTGATGTGGAGGGTGGAGGATGAGGGTGGAGGAAAGGAGGGGTGGGGCAGGAAGGGGGAAAGGGTGGGGAGAGGAGGGAGGAGGCGGGAGTGAAGGAGCACCAGGAATTAGGCTGGACCCTGGAGAGGCTGCATTCAGGCTGGGTACAGACTAACGCCTGGAAGTGACGTCACAGCTGCCAGAACCTATACGGGAACGATGCGTTCAATCTGAGGAGGAAAAGACGGAGACACGGACACGTAAACGCCAACGTTTTACATCAGAGTGATGAATTTAATATAGACGTTTTAATACAACCACTACGTAAAGTTTAAAAAGCTTGTTTTGTTAAAGAAAAGCCAAATAAAAATGTGTAAGTTTTAAAAGAGAAAACAAACAAACAAACAAACGAACGAACGAACGAACATGGCACACGAGGCTGAAAAAGGAAGTCTAAACGATGCATCCTGACAGTTAAACAACAAAAACTCCAAACAGGAAACTCAGTTTATCAGTCACGAGTTTAACAACGTTTGATTGGATGAGAGCAGTTGCTAGACTGGAGGTCAAAAGGTCAGCAGAGTGACTCGTGGTGAACAGCAAGGACTGATTAGCCTGATGAATCTCGCAGGTCGGACTGAATGCAGCGACGTTAATGTTTTATGGATCCTGACCAATCACAGCAGCTGAAGGCGTCTCCTTTTAAATCTCTGCTGAAGGTAAAACGTCCAGCGTTGGATACATTTAAAGCAGAGTTTGTGACTAATCTGATTACTGGTTGGCAGTCAAAGGCTCTAAAGGTCAGAGGTCAAAGTCAGGAATGCTGCAACCCGCTGTTTGTTACTCAGTGAGCAGTGAGTCAGTCCCATAGACTCACACGTTAAAACAAAAGAAACAAACATGTTTACAGCCTGATCCACTCTTTAAGTGATGATGTATGAATTTTGCTTCTGGGCCCAAACTGCTCTGTGTGTATTAAAGCTGTTGTGTTTTTAACACATTTTAATGTTTTGTATCACGTTCTATTTGATGTCAACAATCCCCGAAAAACAGTCAGTGATCCCTGTCGACCTCTCTTGGTTTTAATTATCATCCCTATTCATTTAAAAACGCAATTTTTAAGCCCTTCTGATGTAGCTACAGCCCATGCAGCAGTATATTAATCACTAACCTCGTATTGTGGATGGATTATCTCAGTTGTTCTCCTGACTGAAGTTTGGTCCGTTTACAGCATCCTGCCATGCGACTGTATTTGTCTCTAACCATCAGGAACCTTCACGTTAACTTTTATCGAGTGGAAAAGTGTTAGCGTTCGTCCTCCAGCTTCACTGTGTTTATGCTAACATAGCTGTGTAGCTAGCAATCACGTAGCACAACATTATATAGCAGCTAGCCCAACTTCAGTAACCCTACAAACATCACTGCTGTTTAGTTTTCTGTCTTCATTTATATTGGAAGTGACAGCAGAGCTGTCGATGGATTATTTCCTCCTCCAGCTGTACGGGACCAGGATGGTTCTATAACTCTGGATCACAGCTGTATCTGTCAGCTTTAGGCCAGAAATACAGCACTGAACTGAAGCTAACACACATTTATTCGACTCCTGCAAATCTGCAGGAATTGAGGAAATTCAGGTTGTGGTTAAGAGCTGAAACAACAAAGACAGCGCCAGTGCAAGTATATGGACCTCACCATCTTTTAATGACACACAGATTATTAATTTAATACATGTTTGATCATTATCTTGTAGTTTTTAATGAAAGTGCCACGTTTTTGCTCTTGGACTCTACTACAGCAGTTTTGTATGATCCAAAGTTCAAAATAATCCTTCTTTGTTGGGCATCGATGCAGTGAGATGGTAGATATTATTCACATTAAAAAATTAAAAACATAACACCTGTGCATGAAAAACAAATCCAAGCAGACGAATATCCACACAGTCTTTTAATACATATTATTATATATAATAATATAGTTCCTGCCAAATAAGAAAGCGAAGCGTTAACCAGCCCTCCTACCATCTGATAAATCAGCTCAAGGACCACGAGAAGTCAGTCACCCTCGTCACTTCCTCTCTAGAAAGATTAGATCTACGTAAAAACAGAACTGCAGCAGGTAGAACAGTCGGCGTGAACGAAGATGCCTTCCTCTGGTAACCAAACAGAAAACAGGACTGAGCCTGAAAATCCCCTCCACGCTTTAACCAGGTCACAAACGGCGGCGGGAGGATTCGCACCGAGCTGCTCCTGATGTTTGCAGCTGTCACCGCACCTGCAGCAGAAACCACAGACCTGCTGCTGCGACACCAACCGCCGGGTCACAGTGACATCACCGCGTAACGGCAGACTCGCAGCAGAAGAGCAGGATAGAGGGTCACTCTGAGAAGCAGCCTTTAAACTCCGGACAGGTGAATGAGCATCTGCAGGGAAACCTTCTCACACTGAATCCAAACAGGGACCCAAACAAACCCGTCTGTAAGCGCTACACTGACAAAACCTGATACTTTATTCAAGAATATCATCATCTGATCAACAAACTCTGGACTCAATATGAATTTGTAATGAAATATTTCTACAATCTTGAACTGAATCCACGTATTTGCGCTTCAAACCCAAATATCTGCTTTGTAAACATCTGAATTGACACCAAAGCTGCTCACCTACATCCTTTAATGGCTCAAAGACAAGCGCACGTCAGGAAGAAATAAGACACTTACTTATTAAATCTGATTTCCAGACAATATTCTGAATAGATCTGGTAACATTAAGAGTTCGTTAGTAAAGGTGACTTATTCTGCTCTCTCACAGTAGCTCTGCGTGATTTACAGCTCAAAATAAGCCTTTGTTTCCTCACACTGCAGCCTTTCCTCCTCAGGCTTCTATTTTCAGCGACCTGTTAAAATCCACCAGTGACCCGTTTAAACTTAGCTTGAATCCGGTTTGAGTTTTGTATGAAAATATAATGGCTAAAACTTTTCCCTATAATTTAACCATTGAGTTACTTTTGCAGAAATCATTAAGACCAAAGTGTGTCCTTCAGATTTACTGGAATGGTGAGCAACGTACATGGAGAACCGCGGCGACCTGTTCAAAGGTCATGAAGTCTGACCCTGTGTCCTCGGTGCATCTGGAACGATCCGCAGGTTAAAAGGAAAAAAAGAGGTTTTGCTTTAAAATACTGACTTTGTTTTTAAATCTAAGAGTTTTTCACAGCGTTGTGGATCCACTGTGTTGTTTGTTACAAGTGTTTCCAGCTCATGTCGTTTAAGTCGTGGCTTTTGTTCCGTGATGGTTGATCACTGCTCATTTGCCCCTTCAAAGCAGGAAACTTCTCACTTTTGTGTGGCATCCCCCAAGGCTCCATGCTGGGACCACTCCTACTTTCATTAAATGTGCTGCCTTCTTGACTTTTATCTAACGTTTATACATTTTTCCATCTCCACTGTCATCACGCTCACATTCCAGTCCAGAATGAAACATCATGGGACGTAACGCACTTTGGCTCTGCTCCTATTGTGACAGTGATAGCGGGGAACTTGTCTGGATTTAACCTGAGAAACAGCAGTCCATATCTGAGGGAATTCCTGCTCTACAGATGCCTGTAAGACGATCAGCATCAAGTAAACTCCGTTTGAAACGATTATTGGAAGGTTTTCTAATCGTGGTTCAGATTTGTCACAGAGAAACAACAACAAGTCTGACAACTACAGAAGTTCAGGGACACTAGAAACTAAAAACAGACAATTGGACTTAAATTTAGTGCGAGAGGGCCGACATCTCCCAATTTTGGAGCACAAAATTACGAAAAATTTATTTGATTGTTTTAAAAAACCAAGCAAACAGAAGGTGTGCAGATGAGAGAAAATAAAGTAAACAACAGCAAAACACCTACGTGTGAAGTGTCACTAAGCTCGCGAGTAGTATCCTCTCCACAGTGGATAACCTCCGCCCTCCGGCCACTTGGAAACACCTAAAACTTTAGTTTGCTGACATTTTTTTTTTTTAGCTCTGCCATAAAAAATACTTTGGTTATTATGATTACACCTTTACTCCACGGGGAGAGGGGGGTTGACCGGGGGACCGACCTCAGGTGTTTGCCTCCGGACTGTGTGGCAGGTGAGGACGGCCTGGTGACACCGGACCGACTCACTGTTGTGGCTTCAAACCCGCACACAGCGGTTCTTAGAGCTGCTCCCTCCGCACCTGAAGGCTGGAGGAGCTAGTCCTGCTGCTGATGGTGGTGATGAAGATGACCACGCAGAGGTCACACTTTTACCCGCCCCCCTCCTCCTCCTCCTCCTCCTCATCGAGCTGCATCCTCACGCTAAATATCAAAATATGCGCGCAGCTAATTGGCTCGTTCCCCCGCACGCGCGGCGGCCATGTTGCGCCAGTACCGAGAAAACCCGCAGCGGTGCGAGAGCAGGCGCAGGCGAACAAAGGAGAAGGGAGGTCTGCTGCGGAGAAAACGGCCGCTGAGCGCGCGGCTCTGCACACAAACAGCGGCGCACGCACGGCTCGGTCACCGGCGGCGCGTGAGGGTCGCACGTTCTTACCGACACAGAGATCAGAAGCGCCGCATAATCCCGATCAGCCGCCGAGGCTCCAAATTGATCCGCTCAGCCTCCCTTTGGCGCTCCGCTGCGTCAAGCTAGCTGCGCCAAGATGGAGGGAGGGCGGGAAAGAGGCGGCGCGCCCCTTCAAAATAAGAGCGCCGGCTCTACATATTGCCACCAAAGTAAAAGATGAAATGATGGAAATGCTTTCCTTCAAGTGTTATGTGGACTTTTTTAAAAAGTTAAAAAGTGTTTCAAATTAAAGGCAGGAGACCTGATTGGCTGTTTTCAGTGCTGAAGAGCTTACTCTCCCATCACTTACCCTGGGTCGCCCCCTCAAGGCTACTGTTGTTGTGATTTGGCACTATATAAATAAAATGGAATTGAACTTTCAAACTTCCACAAGGGGGCGACCCGTGGCAAGTGATTCTACAGAAGCCTGTGGAGAGTAAGCTCTTCAGCACTGAAAACAGGCAATCGGGTCTCCTGCTTTTAATCTGAAACACTTTTTAACTTCAGTGGTGACTGGGAGATAAAAAAGTCCACATAAAACTTTAAGGCTCGTGTAGCAACAGAAATGCCAAACTCAAAGATATTATAATAAACACACAGGTCAGAATATGACATGTTAAAATACTGGACTATCAACATTTTAATATGACAAATAATGACACAGTACAAGATCATCAGCGGAAAGCAGAAAGTGGAAAACCCTGGCCTATAGGCTTATTGAAATTGCACATTGAAAGTGTGTATCACTAATTGTCAGACTGGGTTTAATAACTCTGATCTTTTCTATTATTCTTCTTATGAAATGAAATCCTTTATGTAAACAGGCAATCTCATTGATATTAAGTTCTCTTTTTCAGGAGCGTATGAAGAGAGACAGCTGCACTGTAAAACGACACATGATTGTGTTTTGGAGCTTTTTTTTGCCTGAAGCCTGATAAATTCAGAATGTCATTTATAGGTTTATCAGTACTCAGTCAAAGAAGGACCCAGTCTAAACTGTCCTCACTGTTTGACTCTTTTGGCTTTAAGCATTCAGTTTCCTACAGACCTCGCTGCAGCTCATCGTGGTAAAAGAGAATATGTTTTCACAGTTTTGAATATTGAGCACAGAGCAAAAATAATTATAGATCATATTTCTGTTAAACAAGGAATGATTAAAATGATTTATGGTAATGAATAATTTAATGGTTTTTGATTTGTAGATTTTTGAGGGAAATGAGTAAGTTATCTTTAAAAGTCTCTAATCAAATCACTTTTATTGTCACATCACATGTGCAGGTACACTGGTACAGCACATGTGAGTGAAATTCTTGTGTGCGAGCTTCACAAGCAACAGAGTTGTGCAAAATACAATAATGTAAACAAGCAAAATACAAGAATGGCTACATCTGAAACTAATAAATATATGTACAATATATAATAGTATATGCATTTCTGGATGTGTATACTAAATATTTTTCTACGTGTGTGTGTGTGTGTGTACACATATTTTACAAATTAAATAGAGTAAACAATAAATAAAATATATAAAAATATACAGAGTTGAATATGTGCAAAACAGTGGCATTACTGTACAGTATGGAGTGCATAATGTTAAAGTTCCAGTAGTGAAGCTGAGGTGTCTACGACGTGTTCAGCAGTCTGATGGCCTGGTGGAAGAAGCTGTCTCTCAGTCTGCTGGTACGGGACCGGATGCTGCAGAACCTCCTTCCTGATGGAAGCAGTCTGAACAGTTTATGCTGGGGTGACTGGAGTCCTTGATGATCCTCCCCGCTTTCCTCAGGCACCGCTTCCTGTAGATGTCTTGGAGGGAGGGAAGCTCACCTCCAATTATCCGTTCAGAGCACCTCTACAGGACAGCGGTGCTTTCTTACAGATGTTACGGTCAGTCCAGTGAAAGACTGCTAAAAAAAATACAGTACATTCTCAGTAGAAGGATTGCCAGCAAGTTACTTATAATTCCTAATGACCTGACTGTGATTACAGGATACTTATGTGTTTTTATAGGTTAATGAAACAATTAAAACAAGCAAAGGAAACACACACACAAAGAGTGGCGACTTTCAACCCGCAAAGATTATCCATGTAGCTAATGAGAATCACAGACTCACATGATGAAAGAGGTTCACATTCCTCTCTATCTGCCTATGTATTGGTTGAATTGACTGATATTGTTATTGTAGACACAACAAGACTTATTTTATGTTGAAGAAGCTGTGATTTAAAAAAAACAAACATTAACATAAAGAAAACATAGATAGCGCTGTTATTTTAACTAACAGTTTTGTTTAAAATTTTTAAATAACTGTGTACCATAAATTTACAGTCACAGCCAGTCAGGCCTTTATTTTGAAAAACCACCACCAGAAGTGCAGTTGGTCACGCGGGCTGCCTTGACGTTTGTGCCCGTGCGTGTTCGCGCTGACGCCAAAAAAGAAAATCTTCCACAGCTGAGTCCCGCCTTTCCCCCGCTTGCTAAAAAGTGATCTATTGTATTGTTCGCATCCTCGTTCGCTTCCTGCCAAATACTGAGCCTCTGCGCTGACCAGTTTCCTCACAGACAACAAAAACGCTTGACTAAGAAGTTTTTAGTCTGCCATGTTTTATAAATGAGGATTTTCGCTGAAAAAACGACGCCATCACTCTTAATAAGTATTAACAAAACTGCACTGTGCGGTAATATCGAGTCCGGCAGGGGGCGCGCTTTTTAAGCGTAAGTCTCACTGATCCAGAGTCCGATGTTTCAGCTTTTGCATATGTAACAGACGCACTGAGCAGGAGGAAATCTGATCTGGAAACAGATTCTTTTGGCAGACGGATGTGCGTTTTGTTTTAAATAACCTACAGCGCCGCGGGGCGGTGCTTGTCCCACTTGTTAATAGAGAATTCGGTGGTGCGCACGCGGTGTATTCCGGTGATAAAATAGAGCCACAAGCAGCCAGCGAGCAGGTCAGAGCGGAGGAATTCGGCGAAAACGAAAGCCGAGTCTCCTGCTCACAGTTACCGCTACCACGAAGAGCTCCGGGGCTGGGCCCATGATAGCTCAGCAGGGACACATCTTAATCTCACGCGGCGGGGCATTCTGGAAGAGACGGAGACACCTCGGGAGGATGTCCCACAGCACGAACCGGGAGTGAAAATCTTCTCAGCAAGATGTGAGATGATGCGGGAGAAAACTGCGACGGAGGCCAGCGACATGGTGTTGGTCCGGAGCTCGGTGAGTGCTGTGGGTTGACGTCGCCGGCCAACGTCGGTGTGAGCGGGCGATAAAAGAGGCTAACGACTGCTTTAATAAGCTGATTAAACGGCTTTGATGTCCCGCTGACAGCCATGTTTGACTCACCGACAGAAGCTAATTCAGTTAGCCTGACACGGAGCGATAAAACAGGAAGCTAATTAGCTGTTAGCAAACTTCGGGCGATAATTAAAGCTTAAAGCATCCAAACATTAAACTGTCGCCGGTCTGGTTCGGAGGTGTGAATGTTCAGAGGTTTTAATTCAGGAGAAACGCCGTAAAGAGCCTCGGTAACAAGTAAAAGTCCTGGAAACAGAGTATTGCTGCAGTGAAAGTCCGGAACTAAACCGAAGTACTGCACTCAAATTACATTATAACACTATTACAGTAGTATTACTCCGGCATTAATACAAAGTACATGAAAAAGTCACGATGGGTGTTACGTTCGTTTCTTTATTATCTTTAATATTTTTTGAATAAAGTTTTAAGTTTGTTATTTGAATGATCCTAGGATAGATATCATTGTTTCAAATTCTTTTAAATGTATGTTATCTATTGAATCATTTTCAAGTAGTTAATTTGTTTTTGATTATTTATTTTTCTTTTCTTGTTTTAAATGTATTCCTATATTTGATTGGTAATGGAGTAGACTGTATGTAAACTGCCATACATGATGTTTGAGTGCACACACTAAGCTCCTTCTAAACTGTATTCAGAGGTAGTTTGTAACCAGAGCCAGAAAATTCAAAGTAGGATTAAAGTGTAGGTTTAAAAAAATGAAATATTAAAATCAGATGTCAAAGCAGTTAAGATCATGTAGCTGTCTTTATTTTTAAAACAAATGCGTTTATAAGGAGAGAAACAAAGCTGGGGTGTGGTTATCATTGTCCATCATTATCACTGCATTTCATCCATTGTTGTTGTTTTTTTAAAAGGGTGTAAACACAAATGATAGTTGGATGGATGTGATGGGACGCACTGATTGTAAAACTCCAACCCTCCTGCCTACACCCAGGGTTTGGTTTGTTGTGGTTGCATGCACCAGGTATTCACACTGTTGAAATGTCAAATTCATTTGGAGAGCTACTGACGTCCCGTCAGCCTGCAGCGAGCGTCTGTGCTCGATGGAGGCAGCGTCCAAACTATGTGGTGCGACTGGTCTGTGGGCCACTCGTCAGCCGGCTGTGCAGAACAATAAAGTTCTAACAAACAAACAGCTGAAGTGAAATGGTGTTAAAGACAAAGTGTCCGCTGCAGCCGCTGTCTGGACACTTCGTGTGTGTGTTTTCTTTCGTGCGTCTTCTGTTCCCTGTGACCTCTGCTGTCACTCTTCTCTGTGTCGGTGAGGTTATAAACCAATCAGCATTCGACCTACGCACAGCTGAGCTGCTGGGTGTTTAGAGGACAGTGCAGGAAAACGTTTGCATAGGTGGAAAATCCCGTTGTACGCAAATGGAGAGCATCTCTGCTGAGCCGACAGTGCTGTCTCCACATTTACAGTTTCCACTTGTCTTTGGGGTTCAGACTGTTTGAAGACACCCAAAGTGACGTGAAGCTACATCAAACAGTGTGGTGGGAAGCCTTTTTGCAGATTTTCTTTGCAGTTGTGGTTACTACTGTTTGCACGATGCCAGCAGCTCTGCAGATTTTGCCACATTAAAGTTTCCATAAACGCAGGCGACACTCTTCAGTCGACTGAACCTGGAGGCTGAGCCCATGGCGGCATTTACTCCCCACAGAGCCTCAGACTCAGAAAACTGCAGTTCCTCCAATGTCCAGCAGAGGCTCCAGCAGTGAGTCAGTCCCCACAGACGCACCTGTTTAAATCCAGCTTACTGTTACAGAGATTTATAAAACCACTTACCTGAACGCACCTTCCCTGTCTCAGCCCCGGTAGTTACAGCCGCGCTCCTCCAAACAGTTTCTTTTTCACAAGTTTTAACAGATCTGTGAAACCGGCCTTTTCTTACTCTGCACCGTGCTGCGAGCTTCAGCTGGAGGACAGATTATGTGGGTTAAGTTCCAGCTGATGAGGAATCACTGGAGTCGGTACCTCCTCCTTCCTCTGCTCCTCTTTAAGACGTTCTCGGTGTCTCGCATACAGCACAGTCTTATTAGCCCATAACGACGTTGAGTTTATCAAAAATGAAGAAGCAATGCAGCTGAATGCTGGAGGACAAACGTGTCTGTGGGTGATGCTTCCACTGGCTTTTAAAGCACTTTTCTGAACTCTGATGGGTCTTAAAGTGAAAGCAGCTGCTCTAATGTCATCATGTTAGCGGGACGCATCACAGGAAGTGAGGTTAATGCGTCTGCCTCTCTGCTCGCCACAGCACGGCCGAAGCCGAGCCAGAGTGACTCACGCCGTGGTGGTGATCTTCTTGGAGTTCTTTGCGTGGGGCCTGCTCACCACGCCCATGCTGACCGTAAGTACACGCACACCTTTTGCTAAAATGTGTAAAGTGTTAAAGTTTTCATGAAGTTTTCAACCTTTTCCTGCAACTATAAACCCCAAAGTGGGATTATTAAAACCTTGAATGTGTCCTCGCTGAAAGCATCACATGACCAAAAATGATCTACAGGCTGATGTAATAAAGGGCGAACCATCATGGCGTCTACGTGCTGAGGAAGTGAAAGTAGTGTGTTTGTGGTTTCAGGTCCTGCGCGATGTGTTTCCTCAGCACACCTTCCTGATGAACGGCCTGGTGCAGGGGGTCAAGGTAAACCGCTCGGCTGTTTACTGTCAGCGCAGCTTTCAGCCACTTCTCCTCAACTTAACGCTTGTTGAATATTACGATATCATGGCGTCTCTGAGTTTGTATTTCTCTGTCCGTTTAGGGTTTCCTGTCATTTCTGTCGGCTCCTCTGATTGGTGCTCTGTCAGACATCTGGGGCAGGAAGTCCTTCCTCCTCATGACGGTGTTCTTCACCTGCGCCCCCATCCCCTTCATGAAGATCAGCCCCTGGTGAGACTAACGCTCTTTCTCAGTAATCTTCCTCTCGGAGATAAAAACATGAGTGAAGAAGTAAAGAATTACGAGCATTTAAATTTTTGGTTACAGCTTCAAACACGAGCACAACACAGAAAATGGCACATAGCACATACGACACTCTTCATAAAACATGAAAGAAACGCGACTAATCAGAAGAGAAGGATACAAAAATATTCAAAGGCTAAGTAATCTGACTGAGGAACGGTCGACGTCACGATCAGCAGAGAGCTCGTCCCTTGATCGTTCTGTTTACAGCTGAGAAACGCCGTGTTTCACAGCTCGCTGAGCTCAGCTCAGTTTGAAATCAGAGCATCTGTGGTTTGTTTTGTTTATAGTTAGCTTGAAACTGGAACTCTGCTAACCGCTAACTCGACTGTAGCTGCATGCCAACATCATGTGGAGAGTAGAAAACAGTAGAAATGTAATCGCAGACTCCTTATACGCTGATATGCCCCTCAGCAGGCTTACAGCCGTAACCAATCAGAAGAAAGTTGTATGAAGGAGGTGGAGCTAAAACAGCTGCTTGTAGTCCTGCTGCAGACTGAGCTCCAAGAATAAAATGTCGTCTTATGTTTGGACTCGTTTTTATGTCCTCGATGATAAAAATCACATGTAGAGTAAACTGGACTCTGGGCTGCTTACAGGCGTGTTGGACCACATGTAAAAATCACAGTGGCGTGAAAACAGGCCGAGTAATCAGTGTTAGCTGAGGAGAAGGAACGACGGCTCCATTAAGCTAGCAGTAACAGGCTGCTGCTCAGCCGTGCGTGACAGGAAAACTCTGGACTCTAATCGCCACAGCTGTCACATGTTGATCATGTGAGCGGCTCAGGATCAGCAAACACGCTGAAGGCACACTGGCCTCCTCCTCCTCTTCTTTTTCCTGCTTTTCACCCAAACACAGGAGTTACAGTCACTTCAAAGTAAAAAAAACGCACCTATGTTGGATTTCTGCTGGACTGCAGCAGCGATCAGCTGATGTCTGACTGTCACACAGTCACATGGTTCATACATTTCACAGACTCTCCAATAAAAGACTAGATTAGAGTGTTTCTGGTTTAACGACCGTAACATCAGAGTCACAAGACGACAACGCTTCCCTGAAAGCAGAGCGAAAACGTTAACTCTTTAATCCTCACATCACAGGAAGTGAGGTTTCCTGTGTGTGTGTGTGTGTGTGTGTGTGTGTGGTGTGTGTGTGGGTGTGTGTTTAACAGTGAGAGAAGTTAAAAAGCATGATTCGATTATTTTGAATTGATGTAATTCCTGAGACACTCTATAAGTCTCTCAGAACGCTGTTTCCCACACCCACGCTGATAAGGGCTCTTAATTTGGAACTAGACAAATGTGTGTGTGTGTGTGTGTGTGTGTGGTTTGTTTGTGTGTTGTGTGTGTGGTGTGTGTGTGTGTGTGGTGTGTGGTGTGTGTGTGTGTGTGTAGGTGGTATTTCGCTCTCATCTCAGTCTCCGGGATTTTCGCGGTGACCTTTTCGGTAATCTTTGCCTACGTCGCCGACATCACAGAGGAACACGAGAGGAGTACGGCCTACGGACTGGTACACACACACACACACACACACACACACACACACACACACACACACACACACACACACACTAACTAAACAAAACATCCATGTCATACATTTCACTTACAAATATTTTAGGATGGTTGAATCGTAGAAATATTTTTATTAAATGTTAAAAGTCACGATGACTCACAGATTATATCAGTTATAGTCACAGATGTAAAAATCAAAATTCAGTAAAAATTTGAAAACAAGTTCTTAATTCCGAATTTTATTTTCAGAAACTGAAACATTTTCAGGCTTGTTTTAAAATTCTGACGTTTCAAGTTTGAAGCCCTGCGCCTGAGGTCAAAGGTGGGTTATGTGCTGATTTAACCTCCCCTCCCTCGCCAGGTCTCTGCGACCTTCGCGGCCAGCCTGGTGACGAGTCCGGCCATCGGGGTCTACCTGTCTGAGCAGTACGGAGACAGCCTGGTGGTCCTTGTTGCCACGGTGATTGCTGTGGCAGATATTGCGTTTGTGTTCTTCGTCGTCCCCGAGTCGCTGCCGGACAAGATGAGGCTGACGTCCTGGGGGTTCCCCATCTCCTGGGAGCAGGCCGACCCCTTCGCCGTGAGTCTTTTCATCGCTGTTACAGCTTTGACGTGCTCCGCGCTGACTGATAGATCGATTGATCGATATTTGTGTTTTTGGTGTGTTCAGTCTCTGCGTCGGGTGGGGAAAGACACCACGGTGCTGCTGATCTGCGTCACCGTGTTCCTGTCCTACCTGCCTGAAGCCGGGCAGTACTCCAGCTTCTTCCTCTACCTGCGACAGGTAACGCACAGACAGCTGTGACCAGCATGTGCTGGATAGACTCAGGAGGTCAAAGCTACACGTTCAAGCGCAGGAACACTTATTTGTTCCCTCAATCATCAGGATCAGGAGATTTATGGGATTTAAATGATGAAGCATCTCCATCTTTATTCAGTGCAGCTCAGTGAGTCCCAAAGTGTGGCTTGCCACCCCTGGGGGGCCCTAAAGGTACTGCAGGAGGGCTGGTCAGACATTATATTTAATTATTTTAATTGTGTATTTAAATTTTAAATTAACCCCCCCCCCCCCCCCCCCCCCCCAAAGAATGAAACAAAGATAAAAGGGATGTTTTTTTCTTTGCGATACGCAGATTATTAGAAAACGAATATGAATCAATGAAAACCCGAAGGCGGAAACACTGACGAGGTTTTCATCTTCATCTTTCAGGTGATCGAGTTTTCTCCGGCAGCCATCACCGGCTTCATCGCCATGGTGGGAATCCTCTCTATAGTCGCTCAGGTACGCTCGTCCTCACAGAGTCGCACCGTCTGCTAACTTTATGTGAACATGTTCAGCCGACAGCCAAACACCCGACAATGTTAGAGAGAAACAATCCTGAAACTGTTAACCTGCTGTGGCTGCACGCGCGTCTCTTTGCGATAAGATGACTCCTTACTGTCATTGCACCGTCATCTTTAGCACAGAAGTACAGTGAAACTGTCCCACGTCGGCAGCGAGCGCAACTCAACACAATGCAGTAAACTTGTAAAGTGGAGAAAAGATGTGAAGAATAAATTAAAGAATGAGTGTTCACTGTGCATTAATGCCTCAGCTCTGTAGGTCGCCTCCAGAGATGAGCCCACCATGGTGGCATCATCTGGGTGGGTACTGACACAGTCATGTGTGCCCAGAGTGTAGAGTCGGGGGCTGAGGAAAGATGGGGACCGACTGTAACTCTACACGGTCAGAGAGAGAGTCTGATCCAACAGGGGGTGGTAACAGGAAGTCCAATATCCAGCGGTCCCTGTTAGTCCAGGAGCATCGTATTAAAAACAGCTAACGCCCGTGTTGTTCCGAGTGGGAGACGGTGCCGTGGAGCGTCTTCAGCTGAAAGCCCTCAAAGTGTGATTTCTTTGTGTTTTTCTTTTTTTACTCTAAATGCGTGCTGACGTCACAGTTTGTTTCAGGTTTGTTCGTTTAGTTTGACATGAAAAGCTGCGGTAACCCCTCACAGACGACAGTTTGTCCTTTTAAACCCTGTAAATGTGTTGCGTCCTGATTTCTTCACTGTACGTCTCGTGTCTGTCAGACGGTCTTCTTCGGGGTTCTGATGAGGACCATCGGTAAGAAGAACACGGTTCTTCTCGGCCTGGCCTTTCAGCTGTTCCAGCTGGTCTGGTACGGCTTCGGCTCCGAGCCGTGGTGAGTCCCAGCGTCTCGCCCGTGTCGTTTCCGGTTTCCTGTGAATGATCTGACCTAAACGTTTATCTGCTCGCGTCCTTACAGGATGATGTGGGCAGCAGGAACTGTAGCGGCCATGTCTTCGATCACCTTCCCAGCAATCTCTGCTCTGGTGTCACACAGCGCCTCACCCGACCAGCAAGGTGAGTCGAACCTGACCGTCCGAAGGGGCGTGTCTTAAACAGGGTCTGTGTGGCCGTGGTTTGTATCAACATCTGACTGTGTCACATGGATGAAGGTGGTGCAGATGTGACTGAGGCGTCTGTGTGTTCAGGTGTGGCACAGGGGATGATCACAGGTATCAGAGGCCTGTGCAATGGTTTGGGCCCGGCTCTCTACGGCTTCATCTTCTTCCTGTTCAACGTGGAGCTGAACGAAGTGGAGCCGATGGCAGGAAGATCCACAGCGAGCACACAGGTGCGTAGAAATGCGCCTTGCTGATTCTTTCCTCGCTGTTCTGTTTCCCGTAACGAGTCTGTTCTCTCTCCGTCTGTAGAAGCTGGTCGTCCCGGGCCCGCCCTTCCTCTTCGGCGCGTGCAGCGTCATATTTGCTTTAGTTGTCGCCTTCTTCATCCCTGAGCGCCACCAGCTGGCCGAAGTCAAGACCTGCACCGCCAACAAGGCCGGCAGCAGCTCCGCCACACACGCTCAGAACGGCAGCCCTCTTGCCGTGCCCATCAGCGACACAGAGGACCTCGAGCCGCTGCTGCAGGACAGTGTCATGTGACTCGTAGGCAGTCTGGCCAATTACAAAACAGAGTCTTGTATGCAAGTTCCTCCCCCTGTTAAAAAACAAACAAACCCTCTCTTCCCCCGATCCAGACCGTCGGGGAACGTTAGGCGGCGGCCTCCCCGGCAAACCGCTTTTTATCTCACTGATATCACTCACCTGTGACTCCTCCCATTCTTTGCCCAGGTGTGTTTGGGCAGGTAGAACCAAAGGGCTTTGAAGTCTTGCCTCAGTAAGAGTCGAGATCTCTCCGTTAAAACAGATCAGCAGAAGTAAAGTGGTCGTGTAGTCGTGCAGGATCGCAACGTTTTACTTTACGAGCCAATCGCAGCGAGGACGGGACCAGAGAAGCCAAAGCAACTGACAGCAGCCTCCCATACCTGTCAGTCAGGTCTGTACCTGACTCCACCCGTCAGGTTCGCAGAGGCGAGGCCATCAAATGCTCCTCGCTGTACGGCCGTGAAAGCTGACACTCAAAACTACGTTGTTGTTTTTTTTTTGTTTTTTTTTTATGGGGGGGGGGGTTGTTTTTTGGATCGAGGGCGTGATTGCTTTGGGAGGACGAGGAGGCATTGTGAGTGTCTTCGGCCTTGCTTCCTGTGGGGTGACGGAAGTCTGAAGGGCAAAAATAGATCAGGACAGAAAGAATACTAAGTGAGACAACGACTACCCAAAGATGTTTGACGAGGAGGTTGGAGCTGCTCGGGATTGTGGGAAACGATACCAAATCATGATGAGATCCAGGTGTTTGTTTTCTGTCTGGATCTATTTGCGCTCAGACTTCCCGTCACACAGAGCATGTGCAAACTGACTGGCTATGATGTCATTACCCGTCAGGAGTTTGCATATTTGGGAGAAATCCGAGTAAATAAACGGCGTGAAGCTGGAGGCGTCATTTAGCTCCGCCTCATTATTTCATCATTTGGTCTCCCAGTTTAATAGTTTTAATTTACTAATGTGGCGTTTTTGCTTTGAGCTGCAGGTGTGGTCCTTTTGTTTCAGTGTAGAGTTTCCTGTGTTGATCCAGTACACGGGACTCGGTTTGACTTCAAATCAACATTTAAATGCATTTCATGTATTTATTTATTTATTTCATTTTTCTCAGCCCTGATTTCAAACCTCCGCCCTACAGACGGTCTCATGTTTTGCCTCCTCCCGTCCTGTAGAGGGCGCTGTACTGCTGTTTTATAGCCTAAAGCTGGACGAAGTCTGCAGGGTTGGAGTTTTTACAGCGTGGATCAAATTAATATCAACGATTTCACTGAAAACCGAGTTTTCTCTGAGCCGCAGTGACAAGTGATGGCTTTAAGGACAGAGAGCACCACCTAGTTATTGCCATTGCTCCTCCCACAATCTGAGCCTCTGCGGGTCACCACCTCCTCCTCCTCCTCGTCTTCTTCTTCTGTACTTGAAGCTTGTTTCTGTTTGACCTGAAAGTGCTCTCCCCGTCCGCCTGCCCCTTCCAGGTCGGACAAATCAAACGCTCCAAGTTACTGATGCAGTTTGAACCTTGGCGGTCCTGAGGCGGGCTGCTCACAAACCAACCGGTGCCGTGTTTTATTACTCTTTTGTGCTTATTTTGCCTTTTTGTTACAGGCTGTATTTCTCAGAAGGTCAACAGATCGGTTTAAAAAACCTGATCAGTCGTTTAAGTCGAGTTTTCTCCCAGTTCAGGTTAAAAACCATCTCATGTGCGCTCTGTGCAGGTTCTCACGTTTGCCCCTTAAAGCTTCAGCCTTCATGATGGGTTCATGTGATGTATTTTTGTGCACAGAGCTCCGGCGGTCCTGGAGGTCTCTTCATGTCCAGTTTGAACCAGTGAAACCAGTTTAAGAGCACATGTGGGGCTCCAGCTGTTGCTTAAAGACAGATCAATGAATCAATGATCTTGTGAACCAGAGCACAGGTCAGGTGCGTTTACCTGCACAGCTCGGCTACTGTAAGTGGAATATCACTCGTGCTGCATTCAGGCTCTGTTTCTGTGTGGGAGATGATAGTTTTTGACAGTTTAAAGTGACCAAAGGTTCTCTGACAGATGACGTCACCTTTGAGTGGTAGTTCTTTTTTTTTTTTTTTTTTTTTTTTTTCCTTTTTTCCCCTGAATGCAGCATGAACGTTGTCATGGCTACAGGAACGCCTGATCATCCTGTTGTGACGTTGATGATGATGATGTAGCTCAGAAGCACAATCGACTGTTAGAGAAGCTCTCGGCTTAATAACCTTTAACCTTTTAACCCTTAACGCCCACTTGCCGATGATGTCAGATGGTTCATTTTCCTATGCTCACCGAGTGTCCTCAAATGCCTCGTGGAGAGTCTTGGATCCCACAGTAGTTTCTCCGAGTACTGAATGCCTTTCTGTCTGGAATATTCTTTAGACTCAGTCCAATTTAAAACTGGATCATTGGAATTTTTTTTTGTCTTAAGTTCACAAATTTGTGTCCTTCATGTTGGAATTCAGAACCTAGATTTAGTGATCCGGCCGGATGACTCAGTCATTCTTCCTGCTTTTCTGTTAAATCTGACGATGAGATGAATATTCTGGAGATTAGGGCGGCTGATTGTTGACTCCATGATGAGGTTAAGAGCTGAGTCGCGCCATCACGTCATCATCGTGTCATAAAGTTTTTAATGAATTTCCCCGTTGATGATTCTCCGAAACTGTTCATGAAGTGAAACGTGACGTTTTTAAATGTCGGCTTGTGTTTGGTCACACAGACGATGGAGGCTGTAAATCCTCCTCAGAGGCTTTTTCTTTTTTTTTTTTTTTTTTTTTTTTTTTTTTTACAGTGAGGCGTGAAGGCTGACGCGCCAACATGGCCGCCGCAGAGACTGACAGACATTCCCAGATGTTCCTCCTCTTCCTCCTCCGTGCAGACCTTTTGCTGATTGCTGCACTTTAATTTCTCTGAACGTGTGCCTGAATCACTCGTGTTCATATCACTTTTATATTTAAACCGAGAGACGTGTCACGTATTTTGCTTTTGCTCTATTATCTTAAGAACATAATTTTGAATAATATCTATGATAACGTGAATATTAATAACAATAAAGAGAAACGTGTGACATTTGAAATGTGTTTATTTTTTATTCAGTTTAATTTGACTTTTTTTTTATTTAAAAATTAATTTTTTATTGATTAAAACAAAGAAAAGTGAGTATTTGTTTTGCATTTTATTTCCTTGTTATTTTTTCTTCTTTACTCAAAATTCAAGAATAAAAAAAACAAACAAAAAAAACAACATTTCCTTTATAAATATACAAAGTCCACCTAACGATGCAGCGGTTTGTCGGTCCTCCCTCAGCAGCAGTAACCTGCATGATGGCTCTGTGTGACATCATCAGTGCTTCAGCTCGTTCATGCTCAGCTCTCTGAAGCATTCATACGTTACTTTGGTCAACAGACAACATGAAGTGTTCTGATTAAAGATCGACCAAATTAAACTTCAGTTTATTTAAATTAGAAAGTTTGTCAAAAATGCGCCCATTATTGAAAAATGTGTGTTTACAAACATTAAATAAAAAATTAAATCACAAACGTCTGAATCGAAGCAGCTTCAATAAAATTCACAAATACAAAAACGTTTTTCTCCATTTTACAGAAACTTTAAAAAACAAAAACTTTTTAAACAGCAAAAACTTTTCTATATTTTAATGCACAAATCAAAGCTGCTAAGTTTGTAACTATGACAACCACAGAAAAATGCACTAAAAGAAATCATAGAAATCAAACCTGATAAACAGAAAATCTCTATTTGGTCACAACTTTCACACTTTGAACAAAAAACTACATTTACACAGAAAACATCAGCTGATAAATGTGAGAAATGTAAAAGTGAATAAAAATCAAATCTGCTCAGGATCACAAAGAAATCAGCTTCAGTCTGTTTTTATTGATTTCAACTGAATTAGATTTTGAAATGAAGAAATTTAGACAATCGACATCTTCAAAACTAAAAGAAAAAAGATTCATAAATAAAACAGTTCAGTGATCGATTAACAGGAATTGATTTTATCTTCATCAATATTTAATGTAAATATATGAAAGTTGACGCGCATCCAAAAACACATTTCGACTGTAGCGTCTCGATTTTTGTTAAATATGATTTTTTTTTCCATTTGATGTTTTAATGTTTGAAGTCTGACAAAAAAGCAACCAGCATCAGAAATATGAATTAATATCAAACACTTGAACTTCCTGTCTAAGAGATTCAATTATTAAAAATAATTTTTTTTTTTTTGTTTTTTATGTGAGCATGTCTCTTTATGTATTCGGTTTGTTGTATCATACCCAATAAATATACTCTGAATAACATCCTACATGCAATACTTAATTATTAATTTTAATAATGCAGTTTGAAATAAATTACAATGACCTGAGATTAATGCATTCAGTGCTTACGTGAACGTCCTGCTGATTTTATTTTTCCCAGATTCAACGATTTAACAATAATTAGTTTAAAAAGAATATTAATAAAGGACTAAACTTTAATATGTTATCTTATAATTTCGAGCTAGTATGAAAGATTAAAAACACATTTTCACGTCACCTCTCATGTTAACCTCTGTTAGCATCCTCTTTTGAAATTCCTCAGTGCTGTCATCCTTCAGTCATCATCCTCTCAACCTTCACTGGCTTCCTCCTCCTCTTCCTCAAAGCAGGCAGGAAATGGAGACTTTGGTGGTGGCGTAGGGGACGGTGTCTGGCATGGAACAAACCCCCCCCCCAAAACACATGAGGACGGGTTGTTATGAGTGTGAAGTCTGATTACCGACAGGACGAAAAACATACACTTAGCAAATATTACAGTGAAGAGTTCCTGTTAGAAGTTATTAATGAAAAAAACCTGAAAACAACTAATAACAGGTGATTATAATACAGATGATTCAAAGAAGAGATCACTAATCAGTAAAAGTTTTCTAATGTATTCATTTAGTTAACTTTATTTTTTATACACTTTAAATCCAAACAGAAAATTCAAAAACGTCTCCACACAGTTTAAAATGAGAACATTTCTGATGATCTCGTCATCATTAAGTTCACACTTTACTTCAGCAAAGCTCTCATATTTTAGACTTTTGTGTAATTGTAAAGTAAAAGGTGAGAATCTGGCGCTGAAACTCACCTCTGTCCTGCAGTGAGCTGATGTACGCTTCAATGAACTCTTTCTCTCCACTATCCTTCACCTCCTCTGCCTCCCTCTGCTCCCTCCACCTCCTTCTCACACCCTCTTTCTTCTTCTCCTCTTTCTTCTTCTTCTCTTTGCTCGCAGGGTTGTCGTAGAGGCGAATGAACCTGAAGAAGAGCAGAGACAAACATTAAAAAAGTTCTGACCCCTCTGAGCTGACTCACTTCAGGCTGCTCCTCTTCGTGAAACACTGCTGACCGTGACCTTTTGTGGCCCTCTGTGGGTCTTATGAGTCACCAAATTAATGATGAAGGCCAGTGGAAATCAAATTTACCTCTTACAGCAGACTTACTGCTGTAAATACAAAAGGTCTGAGAATGGTTCCCTGTGGAACACCTGCACTGACTTTAAGGAGTCCTGAAACATTTCTGAAGTTCTCTCTGAGCGCAGCTTTTCCACATGAATGCTGTAGTCTACTGAAGCAGCTGTTCTGATAGTAACCTTATCTGACTCCAGATGTAGTTTTAATCCACCATTGACACTCAAGGTTTTTGTTAAGCAGGACAAGTTCAAGATGGTTCGGTAATCATTAGGGATTAAGGTTACCACCTTTATGTAATGGGAACATCTGTGCAGCCTTCAAGAAATTTGGAATTTTACCCTATTTATCACTGCGCCAGTTGTTTTCTGACCAACAAAAAAGATTTCTTGGCTTTATAAACAAACCATTTAATAACACAAATCAGATGTAGCATGAAACTACAGAGATCATACAAATCCACTATTCTTAAAATCAAAAATTCTAAAATTCACAGATCTGGTTCATTTTCTCACAGCACAAATTATATATAAAGCAATAAATAACCTGCTTCCTGACAATATTCTAAAAATGTTTTCTAAAAGGGAACGGGGATACAATTTGAGGGGGGAATTAAATTTAAAACATCCTCGTATCCGTACAACATTAAAAAGTTTTTGCATCTCTGTGTGTGGAGTGAAGCTGTGGAACAGACTAAGTAAAGATATGAAGCAATGTCCAAGCATGGCGCAGTTTAAAAAGCGGTTTAAGGATATGGTTTTTACAGGGTACAGGGAAAGGTAGAGATTTGATAGGGTGTTCTTGTCTAATATTTTCATGTGTGTGCGGGTGCACGGGTATGTTGGTATGGGTATATATATATTTTTGTAGGTTGTGTATCCTTGAGGTGAAAATGTGTATATGTGCGTATGTGTATATACGTATGTATGGATAGACAGAAACATATATGTATATATAAAATAATATAAAAAAAATTACACATAACATATAATGTAATTGCAAGGAGGTATTTCTGTAGTCTATTGATACTAGATAGTGGAAAAGGGGTGGGATTAAATAAGCTTATGCTTCTTCCTGCTCCTTTTTGAACATGAACGTTATTTGGAGTTGTGGTTGCTCGTTTTCCTTTTGTTTTCCGTTGTTCATTTGTCTCTTTTAATTCTATTTTGTTGTACTTTTTCAACATGTTCAAAATAAAGATTCAATCAATCAATCAATCAATCAATCAATCAATCAATCAATCAATCAAACTGAGGAGCTGGTGTGGAGGTGGGTTGCAAAGTGGTCTGCAGAGGCTGCAGCAGCTATAAGCTGGTTAAAGCTGCTGTGTGACATTTGCCACCTGGATGCGTGCTGGGTGGAAGTCTGTGTAGGTGTGGTCTGTGTACTTGATTTCGGGGTTGTTGCAGAGTTTAGTTGGGATGCAGGTGAGTTCGTCACCGCTGACAACGATTGTCGCCAGCGTGGTGATGTTGGCGAGACAGTGAGGGAGGTAATTGAAGTTGTTCTTGTGGATGAACAGGGTGACGAGCTGCTCCAGCCTGCAGAGACAAACATGAGCATTCAGACCTCAGGACGCTGACACCCTCCCCCGAAACACTCAAGAAGAGCTGCTGTCACAGCTGAAGCCCAGGTGATCTGCCTGGTGATCCACCTGGAAATAGTGACGACATCATCAGTCACCTGTCCATGTCCTGCGGCAGGTCGGTCATGCAGTTGTTGCTGAGGTCCAGCAGCTGCAGGCTCGTCATCCTCAAAGCGCAGATGGGGATCGAGACAAACCTGTTCTCCGCGATGTCCAGGTGGACCAGCTGCTTCAGGCTGCTCAGCTACAGAGAGACGACGCACAGTGACATCATCAGCACAATGTCCAGCAGGGGGCGACGTCTCTGGTTTAAGAAGAACTGATTGGATGGAGTTCTATGAGCCTCCTGCTAACTTGACCTGAGGTCTACCTTACAATATAAAGCACCTTGAGGTGACTGTTGTTGTGATTTGGCGCTGTATAAATAAAGCTGAATTGAACTGAACTTGACCTCTGAACACCATCCTGATGGTCCTGAAGGACAGTTCAGCATTTTTGGGGGGCAATAGTAAATTTGACCCCTGATGGCACTTCAGGTGTTCACTTTAATCCCATGCTCAGTTCTGCAGAGTGTCAACCTCCGGGCCTCAAGAATAGAACAATAATCAACGCTGCAGTTCCCCTAATTTCCCACCCGAGGAACCAACAGTGAGTTTGTCCCTCAGGTGCTGCCCAAACAGAAACCGGCCAACGCCTACAAACTCTGACATTCATCTTTCTCTCCTTTGATTAATCTGGACAAAGGAAACCAGCAGAGACGCCACAACGCTGCTCACCTCTTCCTTTAGTTTCAACTACTGAAAAAGAAAATAACTTTTCTTGAAGTACAAAATCTTACTAACTGTTTAACTTCTACCAAATGGTGGAGCCTTAAAAGCACCTAAACAGGCAAACAACATAGTTCATCATCTTAAAGTTTTTGTGACACTGAGCTGCTGCCAGGGACTGATGATGGATGTACAGCTTGACCCTCTCACCTCAAACGGCAGCTCGGACAGGTTGTGGTTTCCCGCGAGCTCGAGTCTCTCCAGTTTCTCACAGTTCCCAAGCTCCGGAGGAACTCGGGACAGTCGGTTGTAGCTGACGTACAGCTCCCTCAGCACTGTCAGTTTACCTTAGAATACAGACGGAGGAATTATTTCGGTATCGTTTCCCATCCTCTCAGGTCGTTCAGACTCGGTTTGTGTATGACTCACCAATCTCGGGCGGCAGCTCAGTGATGGCGTTTTTGGGGATGTCCAGAACGGTGAGCTGGGTAAACAGAGCCAGGTAGTCAGGCAGTTGGCGGATCCTCGTTCTCCTCACGTGCCACTCTTTCAGGTAGGTCATCCACTGCAGCTCACGGGGAAAATCCTGCAAATGATTTTTTTTATTCACTCTGGTTTCCTGAGAGAAAGCAAACTACAACACGTTTAAACCACAAACTTTTAACCAACTTACCATCCAGCGTTCTCCCTCCAGCTGGAAGCTCAGTTTGACCTCATCGGGATCCTGCTGGACTTCCTGACACTGCTGCTGGTCTGACTCTAACAGGTATACAACAACGTCAGCAGCAACTACAGCAGAGTTTACTGTAAATTCATGTATTTAAATAAACTGAACGTGAAGAAACATCTGATAGGACACATTAGCTGGCATTAAAATACAGCCTGGCTATAGTTTTGTGTAGTACCAATTTTGTACCACCAGATGGCGCATTGAGTCAGTGTAACATGCACCCGAAAACATTTGAAAGAAGCTCAAAAACTTTTTACATAATGACATTTTAAAAGGTCCTCTCAGAAAACGATGCAGCCCAACCTTCATCCCTTAAACTCTTCCTAAGATGACTAAAATTAGCGAAACTAAACTTAACTCTGTTATTAAACAGTCCAGTGGTGGCTGATTTTGTAGTTGCATACAGTTTTCCATCTGGTGACTGTATCTGATGATTTTATGTCAGTTTTGGTGCCGTACGCCTGCCAGGACGCTGGACGACTCGTGCAGGCCTGTCCGCTGTGTTTACCCGTGCACAGCTGAATGTCTGTCAAGGTCGACCTCTCCAGGTAATGATGCAGCAGGTTGAGCTCGGAGGTCTTCAGGGTCTTACAGTAGATGCGATACTGCCACTCCTGGTCGATCCTGCGCACACAGAAATGTTAACCAAGTGTGAGCAGCGCCACGCTGATGTCAGATCAAATTTCAGCTGCGTGGATGTTCCCGTTTATCCTCCAAACTTCTGACCTTTCTGCCGTCTGCAGGCCAGACTTCACTACGCTGCGTTATAAATAGTGCGCTGTGTGTTCACACGGCTGAAATCGGCCATGACTCTCACACTTTATGAGCAACAACAGTCAGCTGGGTCTGACTCAGTCAAGTTCAAATGCTTTATTTACTCAACAGACCATGGATTGGATTTCTCAGATTTAGCATTTAATCTGTTATTAGACTCAATTGGCTTCTCTCAAAATGTAAAAGAACCCACCCACCACTTTAATCACACTCTAGATCTTGTTTTAACATATGGCATAGAAACTGAACATTTAACAGTGTTTCCTGAAAACCCTCTCCTGTCTGATCATTTCCTGATAACATTTACATTTACAATAATTGATTACACAGCAGTGGAGAGTAGACTTTATCAAAGTAGATGTCTTTCTGAAAGCGCTGTAACTAAGTTTAAGAATATAATCCACCCACTGTTATCATCTTCAATGCCCTGTACCAACATAGAGCAGAGCAGCTATCTGAACGCTACCCCAACAGAGGTCGATTATCTTGTTAATAATTTCACCTCCTCACTACGTACGACTCTGGATACTGTAGCTCCTGTGAAAACTAAGGTCTCTAATCAGAAGTACCTGACTCCGTGGTATAATTCTCAAACACGTAGCCTAAAGCAGATGACTCGTAATCTGGAGAGGAAATGGCGTGTCACAAATTTAGAGGATCATCATTTAGCCTGGAGAAATAGTTTGCTGCTTTATAAGAAAGCCCTCCGCAAAGCCAGAACATCTTACTATTCATCACTGATTGAAGAAAATAAGAACAACCCCAGGTTTCTCTTCAGCACTGTAGCCAGGCTGACAAACAGTCAGAGCTCTTTTGAGCCAACCATCCCTTTAACGTTAACTAGTAATGACTTCATGAACTTCTTCACAAATAAAATTTTTATCATTAGAGAAAAAATTACCAGTAATCATCCCACAGATGTAATATTATCTACAGCTACTCTTAGTACCATTGATGTTAAGTTAGACTCTTTTTCTCCAATTGATCTTTCTGAGTTAACTTCAATAATTACTTCCTCCAAACCATCAACCTGTCTTTTAGACCCCATTCCTACAAAACTGCTCAAAGAAGTCCTGCCATTAATTAATTCTTCGATCTTAAATATGATCAACCTATCTCTAATGATCGGCTATGTACCACAGGCCTTCAAGCTGGCTGTAGTTAAACCTTTACTCAAAAAGCATCTCTAGACCCAGCAGTCTTAGCTAATTATAGGCCAATCTCCAACCTTCCTTTCATATCAAACATCCTTGAAAGAGTAGTTGTCAAACAGCTAACAGATCATCTGCAGAGGAATTTATTTGAAGAGTTTCAGTCAGGTTTCAGAGCTCAGCACAGCACAGAAACAGCTTTAGTGAAGGTTACAAATGATCTTCTTATGGCCTCTGACAGTGGACTCATCTCTGTGCTTGTCCTGCTAGACCTTAGTGCAGCATTCGATACTGTCGACCATAATATCCTATTAGAGCGATTAGAACATGCTGTAGGTATTACAGGTACTGCACTGCAGTGGTTTGTATCATATCTATCTAATAGACTCCAGTTTGTGCATGTAAATGGAGAGTCCTCTTCACACACTGAGGTTAATTATGGAGTTCCACAGGGTTCAGTGCTAGGACCAATTCTGTTTACATTATACATGCTTCCCTTAGGCAGCATCATTAGAAGACATAGCATACATTTACACTGCTATGCAGATGACACCCAGCTCTATCTGTCCATGAAGCCAGATAACACACACCAATGAGTTAAACTGCAGGAATGTCTTAAAGACATAAAGACCTGGATGGCCGCTAACTTTCTGCTTCTTAATTCAGATCAAACTGAGGTTATTGTACTCGGCCCTGAAAATCTTAGAAATATGGTATCTAACCAGATTCTTACTCTGGATGGCATTACCTTGGCCTCCAGTAACGCTGTGAGGAACCTTGGAGTCATTTTTGACCAGGACATGTCCTTCAAATATTAAACAAATATGTAAGACTGCTTTCTTCCATTTGTGCAACATCTCTAAAGTTAGAAATATCCTGTCTCAGAGTGACGCTGAAAAACTAGTTCATGCATTTATTACTTCCAGGCTGGACGACTGTAATTCATTATTATCAGGATGTCCAAAAAACTCCCTGAAAAGCCTTCAGCTGATCCAAAATGCTGCAGCAAGAGTCCTGACAGGGACTAGAAAGAGAGAGCAGATTTCTCCTGTTTTGGCTTCCTGTTAAATCCAGAATTCAAAATCCTGCTCCTCACATACAAGGTCTTAAATAATCAGGCCCCATCTTATCTTAATGACCTTGTAGTACCATATCACCCTATTAGAGCACTTCGCTCTCGCTCTGCAGGCCTACTTGTTGTTCCTAGAGTATTTAAAAGTAGAATGGGAGGCAGAGCCTTCAGTTTTCAGGCCCCTCTTCTGTGGAACCAGCTTCCAGTTTGGATTCAGGAGACAGACACTATCTCTACTTTTAAGATTAGGCTTAAAACTTTCCTTTTTGCTAAAGCATATAGTTAGGGCTGGACCAGGTGACCCTGAATCCTCCCTTAGTTATGCTGCAATAGACGTAGGCTGCCGGGGATTCCCATGATGCATTGAGTTTTTCCTTTCCAGTCACCTTTCTCACTCACTATGTGTTAATAGACCTCTCTGCATTGAATCATATCTGTTATTAACCTCTGTCTCTCTTCCACAGCATGTCTTTATCCTGTCTTCCTTCTCTCACCCCAACCGGTCGCAGCAGATGGCCCCGCCCCTCCCTGAGCCTGGTTCTGCCGGAGGTTTCTTCCTGTTAAAAGGGAGTTTTTCTTTCCCACTGTCGCCAAAGTGCTGCTCATAGGGGGTCATATGATTGTTGGGTTTTTCTCTTTATCTATGAAGCGCCTTGAGGCGACTTTTGTTGTGATTTGGTGCTATGTAAATAAAATTGAATTGAATTGGGTCGGTTGAGCAGAGTTTGATTCACAACAGGCTACAAAATCCAACGCTATCATGACATCATCACCTGGAAATCCTGGCATATTTGGATAAAAACACTTATGGGACACAAAGGTGCTGATGTCAGCTTGAACAAAGGCGGGACCTCCACCAGAACGGCACCGCTGGAGATACTTGCTGCTCGATATCTTACCGTAGCGTTAGAAGATCAAATTCTGAGGAAGTCTAACTCTGCTGGCGGAGCTCTGGAGATGGTGAAAAACCAAACTGCACTTCACAAACCTGCAGACTGGGTCCTGACACAGACTCTCAGTAAAGAGCCCGTCATGAACATTAATGAATGACAGTTATGTTTTGACCTGATCGGAGAGTTCTGTCTCATCTATTGCAGCTGTTTGTGAGCCGGTCGTGGTCCAGAACAAACAGCACACCTGACACCTGGCCGGTTTAAGGTGGGCAGGCAGACTTAAAACTACAAATGCGGGCCAAATGTTCTTCATCAGCTCTGTGGGTTTTTGCGTCTTACCTGGTGAGGGCGCTCTGCTCGATCCTCTCCTTCTCCTTCTTCTGCCTCTCTCTGTGCTTCTTCACTCGGACCTCCCACATCCCTCTGATCAGAGAGAGATCGTAGACCGGGACGTCCAGCTTCCTCTCCGGACCCATCTCTGCTGCTGAGGAGGAGGAAGAGACCAGGATCATTATCTGAACATATCCGGCTTTAAGTTTAAACAGATTTACCCAGAAAATTTTTCTGTAAAAACCTAAAGCTGACTAATGAGCCACGTTTTCTTCTTTGCCTCTTTCTTCAGCTCATCTCTATGCTGATAACAACATCTGAAAGGTTAAAGAGCATCTCTGAAAAAGGAAGCTGAACATCACGGGAAAGTGAAGTCTAGAGCATTTACAGAAACTCTCAAACAGGACCC